AAAAAATGTCAACATTTGGCACCGTCCTTTGCCTTTTGTTTTTTTTCTATTCCTCTTTACCAGTGCCACCAGATTCCAGGGGTGCTTGCGGCGGAAGTCCCCGCAGCAGCTGAGCACGATGAGGGACACCAGGAAGACCGCGTAGGAGACGTAGCACGTCCACGGGTTGCGACGCACGAACACCTTGGCATCATCCACGAAGGTGAACACGGCCACGAAGGAGAAGGTGACCAGCAGCTGCACGGTGAGGACCATGAAGACCTGCAGGAGGAGGAAGAGGAGGAGAAGAAGGTGAGCCTCTGTTTCTTTAGCACTGGACAAAATTGCGCGAAATCCTTGGATAAGAGCAAAACAGTAACTGGTGTCCAGGAAATACATTGAAGTGACAAGGCTGATGGAAATTTTATGGATATGTTGTAAGATGACTTTCAAAAGATTTAGTGTTTTGGAAACATAAGTTTGCTGACTCAGCAAATTACTTTTCTGATGAAGGCCTGTCGGATGCTCTTGTCCTCGAAGCCCGAGTTGGTGAACTCCTCGTTGTCGTAGTAAGTCGGAGGCACGTCGCCATGGTAACCGGGGCTGCCACCAGGTGCTAGGAAAACAAACCTCATCAATAGGAGGATATCCAAAAGCCCAAATATTCTTTCTTTGGCTTGTTCACTCACCAGAGGGGTCCCCGGGAAAGCCCGGCTGCCCGGGTCCTTGCTGGTAGGGTCCCTCAGGGTAGGGGCCTTGAGCATAAGGCCCCTGCGGGTAGGGCATCTGGGGGTAAGGCATCTGCGGGTAGGGAGCCGGGCCAAAGCCCGCCTGGGGGAAGCCAGGCTGGCCGTAGCCGGCGGCTGGTGGGTACGGGCCTCCGGGGCCTTGGCCGTAGTTGGGCGGCAGCACGCCAAAGCCCTGCTGCTGCGGGGGTCCGTAGATGTTGTTGTGGAGTGGGTTGGACTCCCCCATAATGGGGTAGCCACTCTTGTCCTGGGACATTTTGTGGCGGAGAGTTCAGGAACAAGCTATGAAAAAGGACAGCACAGAGAAAATTGATCAGCAATTTGAAATCGATAACCGCAGTCCGGGGAGACAGCCAAAGCGTCAGGCAGAAAACAGCAAGGGAGGAGGGCATGCTTGCTCAATTTTTATTGATTTAATTTTACATTGTTACCCAGCCGGCGCTGTCCAGTTCGAACCTGACATAGGAGATTTGCTCCTATAATCTGATCAACTTAAGTTTGATTCCCACAATTCACTAAGTAGGGCCAAGGAATACGGCTGCTATAAGATATGCAGTGTTACCTTTAATTGGTTCTCTGAACAAGGTTGGAACTCAATTTACACGTCTATGTTCCCTATTGAAACGGACTGAACTGGGAAGTCATTTCAGACAATCCTAATGAAAAATTTTTATGTCACATTATGAAACAAAGTACATGAAATAAAGCATGAATAAATAATTTGTTTCATAATTTGACAAAGTCATCGTTTTCCTGAAGTGAGATCCCGACGAGCGTCAAACCCGAAGTGTGATGTCA